AAAGGCTGGCGACCCTTGCTGTAGACGAATTAATAACAAAATATGTTATTACAAATACGTCTAAGCTGAAATCATGAATTCCGTGAATGTATTAACTTTTAAGACCAATAAAGTTTATAGAAGAAAGAGAAATTTTAGTAATGGTACATATATCAATTCATCACAGGACTGACCTACATTTCCAATTTCGTACAAGTAAGAATAAATACCATTTTAGGGATTTCCTGCATGAAACAAAGAAATTCGAGATCGATTTCATAATCAAGATCTTCAGTAATACAAGCCCTGTTTGGGCCTCAGAAAAAGTGTCCTGCTGACCCAGATACAGATATCTATAACAGAATGTCGGTTTTCCCTATAGAACGAACTACAAAAAAAATTCACAACGGGAAAACCTAAAACCATTACAAGTTATAAAAACGAATGGAGGAAAAGAATCTGTGTCGCATAAGGAATCTCTTTCCATTGACCCTACGAATTTTTGTGTGGCTTTCATTCAATATACGTAATCTCTGGCCATTAATTATTGGTATTTCATTGTAAAAATCATTTAATTCATTTATATATATATATAATATATATATATATAATACATAGAGAGTTGAATAAAATCATATTACATAGTGAATACTCACATAATATGTAAAGTAAAACAATAGAATTTAATTAATTTGCTCTTAAAACTAACACTTGATTGCACTGTGTAATATTTAATTCGTATATCTTTGATATAACTTTCTACTCAAGTCGGTGGCGGTATACTTCAAAATCAATATTTTTGAAGTACCAGTTCTTAAGAAAATTGGTACTTCAAAAAAATTTATTAAGGGGATTAGAAGATTTGAAACAGATTGAATATTGAGAAGTCAAAGATTTGAAATATATTGCTAAGTTTAGTTTGTAGATGTAAACTTTGTCGACTCACTGCTCAATACATTGAAGAAATTAAGGAGTAAATATTTCTACTTTTTTTGCATATATTCTGGGAACAAAAAGTTTAAAGGTACACAAAAAATACAATTCAAGAAAGCACAATTTATGGAATTACGAAAATATCAGTGAAAAACAATTTTAATGAAAACCGACAGCTATTTTAAATTATTGGATATCATTGCAGGAGAGATTTAAGAGTTTAAGGAAAATTACATGTATATATTTTGCTCTATATATCTATATGAACAATGAAAATTAATTTTATCATATGAAAAGTATTTTGAGTTCATCAAGAAGGCTGTTTTACGTATCTTTAAATGATTCAAAGTTAATGTATAATGAAACAGTGAATCTGTATTCTTGACCTCTATTCGCTAACTATGTATGCATTGCCGGGGGAATCAAATTGTTTCAAATATTTCCTACTCTGCGGCATTCTGAATCATATTGGAAGATTGGTTTGGGTCCTTACAGCTACAAGGTTGCCGAACCCTGCTATGGAACATTCTATCATTATGTTGCATTCCTGAATCGTTTTCGTTCCAGTATGTCTAATACTAGAAAGAAGACAGAATGTTTTTTATTTGAAATGGCTATACACACCCAGCTCTTTTTGTACATGGTAAATACGTTTCTCAGAAAATCGTACGAAAAAACATTCGTGTAAAAAATATATGCGATATATGGTAAATTTGAAGATACGTTCCGCAATTTTAAAAAATCGTGTAAAATGAAAAAAATGTCTAAATATTTTAACAAAAAATGTGCAAAAAATGTAAAAATAAAATCTATGTTACACATTTATAAAATAAAAACAAATGATCTTAATAACGAACACCCCCTTCCCCCCATTAAATTATGATACAGTGAAAATTCAGTCTATAAGTACATACAATGTATAAAAATTCAAATTGAAATTAAGAAGAAAACAACCAACTAACAATCACCGCTACTTGATAACAAGCGCACATGTTTATTACGAACGAAGTGGATCAAAAAGGCTATCATCAGTAAATGTGTCTCATATGTCTAGCTCAACTATTCAAATGAAAAATTTCGTTCGTAATAAACGGTCTAAGTTTTTTATTTGTTTTTTTGTTACGAAGTCTGTTATTAGTTGATGTATTTTGGCTTCTTAAGTCGTTTATATAATTCTTGATATCCCGCTACATAAAACTTAAGACCAAATTGGAATTTTAGTGCACACTCTACGTCAGGATTGTGAGTATGAAAATGTCGTTCCTTCCTATAGTAAATTTCAAGTCCTCACGAATTAAATCAGCTGTTAATATCTGGATATCACTTTCAACTTCGTCATTATCGACTTTATTATCATAAACTTCCATAAATTCAATCAAATCGTCCATATCCAAAGGGCACGAGCCCCCAAATTAATTGTACTACATTAAAAAGTTTATGTAAAAAAAATTGTTAAATTCGTGTATGTTGTTTCACAATCTTGTAAAAAAAAACGTGTAAAAGAAGAACTAGAAATTAAGGCATTTTATATCACTGTTAATGTAATTCAAATGTACCAATAAGACAATTGAAATACTTTAAAGAACGTTAAAAAATGAAATAGCATTGATGCTGTCTGAAATAATGACAATAATACAACACAAAAACACTTTTAATAATAATAATAAAAAAAAGTCTACCTTCGGCACTGAAAGTATATTCTTGATTACTCGTATGCGATAAACATGTATCATGGCTCTAATGTAAATAATATCCATAACACCAATAGGTTGAAAAAATTGGCAGAGCAAAATTAGTTCAATGTAATTATCAGTAATTGCATATTTTGCATATGAAAGAGATTCCAACAGAGAATAAATAGAAAGGAGTTTGGTTATCATAAGCAGAATCGAGTGTTGTTATTGTCTTAGTAAAGAAAAGTATTTATAATTTTCTTAGAAATCCCAAAAGAAAAGAAAAAAATGAGGTCACTTGATTGGACGTGAAATAGAAAATGAAAACCTAACAACACTTTCATGTTAATGGAGCAAATGAACTAATTAAACAGAGGGATAGAAACAATATCTGAACTATTGCAAGAAAGGAATAATAAAAAATTATCGCAATATCGCGTTCTAGTTTTAAAAAATGAATCTATTTCGCATCAGATCACAAAATAATAATAAAAAAATGCTGCGATAAGTGGTTTGAATATCAGTCGTGAAAAATGAAAACAGAATGCCATCAGGGTTTGCTTAAGAACGTATTAGATTTTTTCTTTTAAAGGGACATGGTACGATTTAAGCAAAAGTTTTTAATTTAAATATCTTCGAAATTTTTTTGATTGCCACTCATGTGTCTATACTATATAAAACAGATTTTATGCTCAAAATTTCATAAAAAGTTAGCCATTTAATTTTTTAAGGAGAAAACTTCAAATTTGTGAAGTGATTTTAAAATGCTACTCCTACTACAAAAATTTGCGTACAAGCATGAAATTTTATTTACAAGTACGTCAAACTATGTATAACACAAAAGTTGGTATGGCTTTTGCGATAACATGATTGGTATTCGTACAATACTTCTTTTTATGAATGCTTATTGAAAATTCCTTAAAAAATGTATAAATTTTCTGAGCTCAGTTATTTTTCAAAAAATAAGTATTGCTTTGATTTAAAAATGCATACCAGCTTTTGTTACATATACTCCTAGCAATTAGTAAAATAAAATTTAAAGCATTAGGCACAATAGAAAAAAAAGCCTTAGAATTTTAAATGAAGACAAACTAGTTATTTTATCTTTCTCTGAGCTAAGTAAGTTTAAAGTTTTGATTTGTCATAGGGATGTGAATAAAAAGGAACGTAAAAGTTATTATAATTCTGCGTTTTTTAAGTTTAGAGCTTTAAATTTTGTGAGGTTATAGAAATATATATAAAGAATAATTTAGGCTAAACAAATTAGATTTGATTTTTTGACCGATTTTTGTCAATTGAATCGTACTGTGTCCCCTTAACCCATTCAAGGCTCATTTTATTTCTGGATTATGGATAAAAAAAATGTCATTTTTTTATGCTTATTTTCACATACATATCTTTTCAAACATAATAGCACCATTCGCATACAAAATTTCCTAAAAAATTATTGTAAATAAATCTATTTAAATAAATGAGCAATTTACCTGTAAAGTTGGCTTTCTGCATGTCTGAAATTATTAGACTTTAAAGTAAATTCTCCCTAACTATAAATATAAAGCTTAGAATACCTTGCTTTTATCTTGAATTACAAATTTTGTAAATATCTTTTGTATTTACATAAAGGATTATGAAATTATTAATCAGAATTTGAATGTGTATGATAAATTGGAAACACGGTACTGACATGTGAAATAATTTGGTGAAAATTTTCATTATAGTGTAAAGTTGTATAATTTTGCACGGTGTAAATTCACCCAATGCCCGAGATACACTCGGGATCAGCCAGGATGGCACGTTTCGAATTCAGCTTGGGAAAAGCCGGGAATTGATTAAAGTATTCAAAATAAAATTTTATTAATATGTGAAGTAAGCCAAGCTTAGACTGCCAGACAGTGGATCAAAACGGCAAATAATATTGAGATTCATAATGGAAAGGTTTATATTATTGAAAAACATAGTAGATATTTATTTAAATCGCTTATGTACCTTTTATATTAATAATATTTATAATTTTTCTATTTAATTTGCTATGTGGATGGAAAAAACGCAGGATCTGTAGAGTTTTTTCAAGGTAAAAAATAAATTATAAAAATTTACAAACAGCTATGTTTCATTTCTAATAAATAATATTGATTCTAAACAAGTATTCTAAAAAAAAATTTAAATCAATTCCTACTTAGGTCAACAAAGAAAAATTTTATGTTAGTCACTTTTTATTAAATAATTACAATTAATACGAATATGTATATACACATAACAGAATCACAATATTAAGTGGCAAAATAGAAAGCGATTTTTTCTATTTTCCTTTCTTTTTGTGGTGTTGGACCATTACTTTCGCTTGTTACTATTTGTTCAATTATTAAAAATTTAATTATTCTTATAAAATAGTACAGTATAAATAAATCACATTCGCGGAAATTAAGTGGATTTCGAACCCACGACCTTTGGATTAGAAGTCCAAAGCGCTACTCATTGTGCTACAGGGACGCGTCTTGCGACTTTTCTTTTTATATATGGTGTTGTACACTATTATTTTTGTTACTAATTATTCACACACACATTAGTTAATGAAATAATATTTGAAATTTTTTTTATTATCATCAAGTGTGATCCACTGCAAGTTAAAAAAATGTAATGGAAATTGAATGGATGAATAGAAAGTATTTTATTAACCATTGATAATTTGAACAAGATGTATAGAGAGAGAGACTGTATATATATACTAGTAGGAATTTAAAAAAAATAGCCATACAAATTAGTTCTTATAACAAGTCAAAATTTTTTTTAAAAGTTTATTCTGGAACAATTACCTCAGCAATAGTAATCACCAAACAACTAGACGATGTAGAATACTTCTCAAATGATTTGCAATTATAAATGCTATTTTTGAGAAAACTGATGAATCGCGATATTTTTGAATGGAAGCCAAGAATACATTTATACAAGCGACATTTCAATATTTTAATTTACAAAATAAGGACCAAATAGTAGTTGGAAAGGATCAAGTCAAATTATTAATCATTTTTTATAACGTGGCACATGCACATTTACATATGGGGCAAGTTATACAATTTTTTATGCAAACTAATTCTATGATTAAAACATTTCTACAACAAAAATATCGCTTAACAATTTCTGATTTTTTCGAAAATGGTGATAAAGTTTTTTTCAAATATACGAATGAAACTTTTACCTTTTTGTTGTTTTATTCTGAGTTATCTGCTCACTAGAAATCAATTCGTCAGCCTCAAAGGCATGACAGTAATTTACAATTCATCTTAACTTGCAAGCAAATTTATAGAACCAATTTCAAATATAACCATTGAATATAAGTGAAAGACATTGGAGTTTAATTCATTTTAAATATTATTTGAAAATATAAATTTTGACATAATTGAAAGGTTTTAGACATATATATAGATGAGATTCGTATGATATATTCCACCATTTCATCATACCAGTACCATAAATTTTTATTTTAATGCAATTTTTGAATCAAGGAATTCTAAGAACAACAACCTTTTCCTTTTATTTATTTTTTATGTATAATAAATTACTTTTAGAGCATTTTAAAACGACATATTTTGTTTTTGTCACCTATTTAAATTTTTCATCCCCAAATTACATACGGACCGCAATAATATAGACAAGACTATTGTTATATTCATAAATATTCATATTTATTACTTGTAAGAGCATTGTATCAAATTGCATTTTAATCTAAACTTTCCAATGATAGCATTTCGTCCTCTTAATTGTTTACACAATTTCGAAAGAGTGATAACAAACAAACATTATTTGGTAGATCTACACAAAAGAAAAATAAATAAATAAATAATTGTAACAGAACTAATGAATTCTTAAAAGTTAATATTTTGTTATTTTTATTTTCATATGTAGTGATAATTACTGATATAACTATATATTTCTTCCTGGAATATAATAATATAATAAAAGTTCACCCTCTTATAAAATGTACTACTTGAAAGGATTGTGAATATCTATTTAAGTTTTTCGCTGCATAACATTTTAATTCTATAGTTATGTTGGCTAAAAATAAAATTAATTCAAAACATATTTGTGCACATTTGGATAGAAAAGTTGTGACAGAAACTTTTCCTTTTTGTTTATTTAAATGTGTAAATTTAAATAATTTACAGAGATTTGAAGTAGTTTTGCTTTTTTGCTGCTCCAGTGTACGTATTCACAATGGATATAGGAATTCATTCTTGTGTATTTTTAATATTGCTTCATAGTTTAAATTTACAACACTTGTAACCAATCAATTTAAAAAATTTCTTATAATCCGAATTTGTTTTTGAATCAATTTCATAGATGGCAGCACTACATTAATTTTTTACTTAGAATAACGTAATGGGTTAAAATGAAATTTTTCCTAGAGATGGCAGTACATGATTTTTAAACGTCGAACATTCAGCAACACGGATTTGACGACGGACCTCGTGATTTTGAACCATGGTTAAGTGACGAGAACGACACGTGAGCTGGCAACGAACACATCTAGTTTAATTTATCAGATGTGATACCTCCAGCTTTACTCCAACACTCAAAAAAGTTGAGGAGACATTCAAGATAAACAAGTAATATCAAATCATATATACTTAGGTTAACAAAGAAAACCTGTCCTCACTTGAAGTGGTGCACTGAGGTGGATGTGATCGACAACGTCGGTCCATCGTACCCTCCTGCATCCAACGGTCTCATATCCGCATTACAGTTATTTGGTTTCGTCCAACACGACTACCGATTTCCCTGAAAGATAATCCACAATCTCGGTAGGCCACTTTCCTTCCTCTGTCGAACTCAGATACTTGATCAAAAGCTGATCGCTGTTGTTTTCTACGAGACATAACTGATCGTTTTTTGAAAAAACCACAAGAAAAACACAATTGCCGAACTTGAAATCGTTGAAATCCCCAAGCCTTAAATAGCATTTTGAGGTGGCGCCACAGGCGTGCGTGATGTGTGTATGTGCTGAAATTCTAATCATTTGCATATCTCACCTCCGCTAATGCATGTTGTAAATTTCATGTTATTTGCGTGCTTCCTTCAGGGTGTTGCATTTACGTTAGCCAGCAGTGTATATATGGTGTTGGAATATTTTATTTTTTTTTACTATTTATTCATTCATTAAATTTAATTAATCTAATAGTAAGAATTTAAAAAGGAATTAATTTTTCAACGAAGAGGTACTATTAGTTGCTATTCACACACACACACACAGATACACACACATTACTAAAAATATTCAATATTTACTTATATTTCATCTCGTTTCTTTTTTCCTGTGAAGAAGTACTATGTAATTTTCAGAGACTTTTCGTTTTGATTGCATTTGTCTTTCTCAAAAAGATTTTTGAGATTCAAATTTCACTGAAGAAATCCACAATAATTTCAATCATTGTTTTTATTGAATAATAAAAAAGAATCACGCACATTTTTTCTTTGAAATTAATCTGACAACTGATTTAAAACATTCACAATAAAAAAAGTATTTGAGTCTTTTTTTTTTCAGAAAGAATCCCAATGCTGATTTCAATATTTTTTCTATTAATGAAACAGATAAAAAATCATCAGCTGAATCAATCTTTAATTTATCACTAACTTTGACGAGAAATTTTGCAAAAAAATATCTTTGAAAGCAACTTCAAATACATATAAAAACAAAGAAAAACTTTCACAACTGAAAAAGCTAGGAATTTTTATAAAAGTCCTTTAACGTAAAGTATAAACAAGCAACATTAAAAATAATATATGTTTTGTAAAATAAAAAGAAGAACAGTTGTTAGATTTTAGAATTTCATTTCCCAAATCTTTTTCAACATTAAAGCATAATACAAAAATATATATACTCTTTCGTACACACGCGCAAGAAAAGATTATTTTTGAACTTTAGATGCAAGAATTCTTTATATCAAGTATGCAAATGATCAAGTATGTAATGATTTCCAATACCGATGAATGTTAGAATCAGCATAAAGTGCTTCTGCTATTGAGTCTAGTGCATCGGTTTCGATGTATAGTGTTTTCTGAAGGTTTAATGAGGCAAGGATTTATGCTTAAAGACATCTGATCCTTATCGCACTCATATCAAGTCACAAGAGAACCCACCTGATATGTGGTGTAGACAACATAATCCTTGGGATAAGTGAGTATATTGTCGTTACTATCTATTTAGAATTAACTACCACTCTCTAATAAGAAATACCAAGCTTTATTTACTACTACTAACTACTCTCTCACACCTTATACATTACTAAACTCTCACATCTCATAACCTCACAAACTCTACTCAGACTCGCTCAAACGCTCCTCTCTCTCTCTCTTTTCACTACAGAACTCCCTCACACTCTCTAGGATAACACAGTGGTTGAAACAGCACCATCTATAACCTTAACAGTGAGTAAATATTAACGCTGTACTATTCAGCTACACGAGGACTTTTGGCGCCGGACCTCTTAATTTGAACCATGGTCAAGTGATGAGGACAAAACCTGAGCTGCCACCCTCTCATCTAACTTCCATATTACACCAACGGGAGGATGTTTAAGCCTCTATGTATTTAACACGCATCGGCTTCCTCTGCATGGCAGGTCTTCAGTGGTACTATGCTCGAACTCATGACATGCCAGCCATTACCAGCCGTCAAGTCCGTTACCTTGACCCACTAGGCTACCGCTCCCATAATCCTCTTGGACACGAGAACAGTGGGGTTATGTTCACTTCCCTGATGAGTGGAGATTATATCTGAACTAGACGTGTTCACATATAGAAAAACCATGGACCAGGTACTATCCCTCCAACACCATAGAAGAGGATATCTATGGAAATGGTAGTATTATGATATGAACTGGTGTGATGGTGGAAGTGTACATATAGGTGAATATCTTTTAGGAGGTACCTTGACCGCTCTTGGGGTATAGGAATGAAGTTTTAGAGCCTTGTGTGAGGTTTTTTTAGAGGAGAAGTTGGCCCTTATAGTTTATTGCTATAGTCAAGAACACCCATCCACACTGGGTTCCATTGCGCGATCAATACCTCATTGGAGGATTTTCTGAGGATCTAGATCTTCGGACCCGAATCCTATATAGCATGCTCGGCATACTCTTGATAGAGCAATTGCACACACACACACACAGCTCCTCAGCCCCTTCCCAGTACACTCCTGGAGCTAAAGCGTTTACTTTCTAAATATGTTATAAATAACCTTAAGAACGGAACGAAAGTTCATTGTGAGAGTTTCATTGTTGAAAGAGGTGATCATATATATTCCCCTATTAAACTCTTTATAAGTGCCGTTTTGCTACATCATTTTTGATCTACCATGGTTTTATGAGTATAAATCAAGATCAGGAGTGAGTGCCATTAATGTTTTATTACTATTGTTTAATAATACTTTTTTTTATACCAAATTTCACTTGAATTGGTTCAGTAGTTTTAGAAAAAATGGGCGAGTGAGT